GGGATGGTGGGGAGTGGTGAGCTGGGGAGAGATAGCAAGGGGAGAAATGCCAGATGTAGGTGATGGGGAGGAAGGCAGCAAATCACACTGCCACGTGTGTACCTATGCAACAATTTTGCATGTTCTTCACATGTACCCCAAAGCCTAAAATGCAATAAAATGAATGGGAAAAAAAATAACCCTTTTCTTATAGGATGCTGTTTATATTGAATACCTCCAACACTCCAACCTCCTTGCCTCTGCTTTTTCACTTTGGGATCCTCAAATAGCTCATTGGCAAGATTTTTTGGATCTTCTATCAGTGCTAGTGCTCAGTCATTGCAAAGTTCAAATACAAAACTTTTCTGCTTACCTAATTGTGTCTTGAATGCATCTGAAATCTCAAACATTAGGGATGCAGGAAGTTTTACAGTAGTTTCATTAAGACCTGGAATAATTAGGTGGACTGCAAGGAAATAGATGTAAATAAGAAAAGAAGAAAGTGCATCATGACATAAAATAAAGCTCAGCACATCAGATACAAACTAGGAAGCGTAGCAGTTATTGTGCTTCCATTTTAACCCACACTTTAAAATGTTGGGAAAGATATGACCATACATCCTAAATGGAATATTTTTTTTATTTAGAACCAAACTACTAAAATCCTCTGACTTTTAATCCATAGACTCAAAAATTGTAAACTGGCTGCTCAAGATGTGTGGTGGACGAAGTTCATCTTCTCTGATATTGGTTTATAAAAGAGCAGTTCAGTATGATAAAGACCCCATCCTAATTGCAATCAACTGTGTGAGGCAGGTAGGACAGGTGCCACCATTCCGACTGCACATGTGCTATAGCTATTTCTTTAACACACCACAGTAAAGATAGGACAGCTTGGGTCCTAGCTTGGAATGGACCTGAGCCAGCGTGCTAAACAATGAAAGGAAGTGAACCAGCATCAATTTAAAACTCCGTAAAAGCCCTATTCTCAAAAGACAGCCCAATTTGCTTAATCTAGGCATAGATTTCAAATACACTCACCTAGTATCACTCCTCCCATGGGAGCTTTTTCTGGGGACTTAGCTGAAGCCTTCTGAGTAACATTCTCAATCACTGTTAAAATACAAAAAGACAGTGAGCGGGGGGAAATAGGAGGCAGTACGAAGCTAATAACGTGAAGCCATCTGCACTGGGAAAGTTTTGATCTAGCTTTATTGATTAATACAAAGCAACTCAGTGGGCCAGCTATGTAGCCAACGGAAGTACTGGAAGGCATACCTTACCTTAACACCTGTGCCATGAAATAATGAAAGGTATTACTCTCTCATAAGGTGTTCCATGCTAATTACTAAAAAATTTTCATCCTAACTCTACTCCCTGAAGTCTTTCTTTTCTCCAAATCAATCGGTACTAGCACAAAAAGAGGTGGTGACTGACTAATCAAAATTCAGAAAACTTACTTTCTTAAAGCAAAGAATCTTTGAGTAATATCAACACTGACTGACTCCGTTTTGAGAATACACTGGGGATGCTGTGTTTTCTAAAAATGAATATTTTTAAGAGCCCTGTCTCTTCTACCAAGAACCTTTCTGGAAATAATAGATTTTAATAACTTGGAAAAGCAAATGCCAAAACAAAAACAATCATACTGAAGTGAAATGACATTATAATTCTGGAAACCTGGACTTCTTGACTTTCCCTAAAGTGACCACTAAACCATTTCCATTAAGAAAATATCCTATCAATGGGTTTCTTCGTGTATGACAACTTAATCCTAGGCAATGCTCCACATACTTAACTTGCTTTTAAAAATTTAATACTTGTGATGGTTTTTGTCCCTAGTTGTCTGACCAGTGTGACCAGCACAAGGCTTGGCGTATTGGTAAAACAGCCAAAACTATCCATTAACATCCAATTTACTAGACCATAATATTTTCTTCAAACTTTTTCTCAAAAAAATCCGTCAAAAATTTGAGAAAATATGTGCCATGTTTGATTACCTTAGCTAAAGCTATATTAAAGATTCCTTTAAACACATTTCCAGAGCAGACGAATTACCTTGCTTGATGATTGTTATTGGGATTAGCTTTCTTGGGACATAGGCTGGCTGAAAAGAGAAGAAAGTCAGCTTTTGAGTCAGTGTGAATAACTTTTTATTCTTTAAAACATATCAGAGAACTGGAAGTAGCTCTTTCTTGTCTTTAATGAAGTCTCCTGTGACACTGGTTTAACAGTTGCTGGTGGCTGGGGGCAGGGGCTCACACCTGTAATCCCAGCACTTTGGGAAGCTGAGTCAAGTAGATCACCAAGTTCGAGACCAGCCTCTGGCCAACATGGTGAAACCTTGTCTCTACTAAAAATACAAAAAAAAATTAGCCGGGCATGGTAGTGGGCATCTGTAATCCCAGCTACTCAGGAGGCTGAGGCAAGAGAATTGCTGGAGCCTGGGAGGCAGAGGTTGCAGTGAGCTGAGATCATGCCATTGCACTCCAGCCTGGGTGACAACAGCGGTACTCCATCTCAAATCAAACCAAACCAAACCAAAACACTTGCTGGTTGGATTGTTAGTACATCCATCTGCCTCTATTTTATTGGATTCACTTGGTTTCCCTCATCAATAGCCCAAGGTCTGACAGAAGCAATTTCTTCAGAAACTCCCATTAGTTCACTTTACTTAGAAACTGCCATGGAAAGAAACGAAATCTCCTGTATTGAATATCAGTTTATTTTCATTCCATCTGAGATGACAGCCAAAAGGTCTTTACAGTCCCCCTCGAAGAGATAATAAGCTACCTGGATTTGTAAATCGATCAAGATCAATTGCTGGAGTGTACCCAGTTGCTGCTGCTGTGACTGCAGATGCCACAACCACCACATGTTCCCAACGCCGAGCACTTATCGATCAAGAAAAAAGAGCAAGGACTCAGATCCAGACGTTTCTTATTATTCCACAACCTGTACTTTCAACCATTCTGCACATGTTTATACACAAGGGACCTCAGAATCGGGAGGATCCCAGGGAGCTCTGCTTCCTCTCTTCAGCCAAATTACCTCAGAAGTCCCACAGGAGGTTGTGGTGTCAACAAGTAGCTTGAACTAGGGACGGGTGTAGACTTTAAAGCAGAGTTACTGCCAGATGTATCATGAGGCCGAGGATAAGACAGATGGCAGGGACACAGAGCAGGTGAGGAGAAGGGTGGAAAATTACATACAGGACAACTGGAGTTGGGTTGAAAGCGCAAGACTGATGTCTGCTTTTAGACACTTGGTTTAGCTTGTATAGATGACACAGTCATGGCATATACTAGACCTGTTGATCATCAGGGATACGCTGAACATGAGCTCTTACCAGGTAGGCGCTTCCCTGATGACCAAATCCCTTACAGGGGCAAACACCTAGCTGTGAGGTATATCAAAATATACTTTTTGATATAGCACCATTTGAATCAGTGATATCTCCGTGGTAAAGAAGGGTCAATACACCAAGCTTACTGTTGGCTATTTTTCTTATCGTATTAAGGTTCTTATGTTTAAAACAAAAACCACAAAAAATAGAAGTTTACTATCCTCAGATTATTTTTTAAAAGGGTGTCTGCACCTGTTGACTCAATGATTTCCTCCTTAGCAACCCAGCCTAAGGAATTAATCATAGACAGTGTTTATTATCATAATTTAAAATAATTTTATTATCCAAAAGTACAGGTTTTACTAAATGATAGTTCAAAATTTTGACGTGTATTTAATAAAATGGAAAAACGCAGAACATAAGTACAAAGGATACAAATTTGCATCCACAGTATGTCCCAATTTTATTTTTAAAAATGTGTAGAAAAAAGACCAGAGGGAAATAAATCATCGTTTTCTTAAAACAGTAGTTTCTTATAAACCAACATTAATTTTGTGTAACTTTCTATATTTGTCAAATTACATTTATAATCAGAAAAAGTTATTTTAATCAGCAGTCTGTTTAGCTACCACATATGCCTCTGTATCGCATCTTAGCTCGTCCACTATAGATAACTAGGGGAATCATGTAAATATAATTTAGACACGCTCTTCCCTGGCAGCAGGAGGGAAATAGTAGGAAGATGGGTGTACAGTTCAGTGGGAGATAAAAAATACCAAACTCTCAGCTCTGAGGTTATACAGGCAGGAGGATCCCTTTTGGCTTTACTATAAAAAGTTAAATGTGAGCACTTGGACAGAGATCCTTCCCCGGCGGAGAAAGGCCCACCCTTGACGCTCTGCACTCACTCCCCAGCCCCCTGTAAGAGAAGCCCGCCAGCTCCCGCCACCTGCACTAAGCTCTCACCTGCCCTGCCCCAGCAAAAGCGTTGCCAACGTATAGCCTCTAACTCTTCTGAGAATTTTTATTTGTTCATGTTGAAACAACTTGTATTTTTTGCTATTTTAAAAGTAATTTCTTTCTTCATAATTGTATGTATTTCTGGGGTACCATGTAATGTTTTCATCTAAGTGCACAATGAGGGATGATTAAACCAAGCTAATTACCACATCCACCTCCTCACTTACCTATCATTTTTTTGTGGTGAAACATTCGAAATTTATCTTCAGCAATTTTGAACGATACATCAATAGTAACTATGGCAACGCTGCTGTGCAATAGCACTCTAAAGCTTACTCCTCCTGCCTAACTGAAACTTCCTACCCTTTGCCAATATCTCCTCACTCCCTCCCCTGCCACCCCGTGCCCCTCACCCCCGGTAACCACCATTCTACTCTCTGCTTCTATGGGATTGACACTTCTGAGACTTCTAAATGATTGGCGTGGCAACCTTCAGCTACATGGGAGCTGCCTGGCAGGAGAGCCACATTATTTTTCTAGGTACCAGTGATCATTTTTGTTCAGGCTGTGGCTGCGACCGTAGAGACTTTTGAATGGCCTGGCCTCTATTTGCCCTACAAGTCCTGTCACTTGGTGCACATTCTGTACTTGGCGCATGTTTTGCTGAGTGTGACATTTTTCCAAGACAGTTAACACATTAAAGCAGAAATGCCTACATGTTGCTGTGTCGACTGAATTGCATTATACCTGTTTAATTTTCCTTGCTGTAATGATTTGTTTTGCACAAATAACTTTTTGACAAGGACAAATGGAAAATATCCTGCTCTTCACATGAATGGAACAGAGTTTCTGTTCTGAGTGCTTACTCCAGCGCAGACCAGTGTTCAGTGAGAGTGACAAGAACTTATGTGCAATATGTGCTGCCAAAAATTAAAAAGTCATTTAGCTGCAGAATGCCATTTTTTTCTAGGCCTAGAAATGTTCTCCTGCTTCATGCACAATCCAAAGATGTACCAAGACTGTACCAATGAGCAAATAAGTGCATCTCTACAAGTAGGGCTTTTTGTTTGTTTTGGGGAGAGAATCTCACTCTGTTTGCCAGGCTGGAGTGCAGTGGTGTGATCTCAGCTCACTGCAACCTCTGCCTCCCAGGTTCAAGTGATTCTCCTGCCTCAACCTCCTGAGTAGCTGGGACTACAGGTACGTGCCACCACGCCAAGCTAATTTTTGTATTTTTAGTAGAGACGGGGTTTTACCATGTTGGCCAGGCTGGTCTCGATCTCTCGACCTCATTATCTGCCCACCTCGGCCTCCCAAAGTGCTGGTATTACAGGTGTGAGCCACCGTGCCTGGCCCAGGTAGGTTTTTAAAGGGTATCAGGAAAGTCCTGTGGCTCAACATGCTCTGCCAATACCTCTACAATTTCCATTCAGAAATTCACAATGGGAATCCTCTCCTTACGTCCTCTTATCACCTAAAAGTGCAGGTAAAATTTAACCGGACTCACTGCAAAATGAAGAACTGTGGTAATTTTCAAGACACAGTGTTAAATCAGTTACAATCCAATTTTAATAGAACTGTCTTATGCACAATGTTTTTCAAAAACATTTCCTTGCTGACCTTTCCTTACTTTTTCTAGGCTTGTTATTATGAACATCTATTAATATGTGTCAGAGTCACAGGTGCAGACAGTGTGGGGTCTGGAAACGGGAAGGAGGGCGTGAACGGCCTACAGGCTCCCACACCGTGTTGGCTGGTGTGGCCTCACGACAATACTGCTGTCCTCAGACACCACTCTGGCAGTGATGTTCCTTCCTAGCCATTCCCTTACTGGCTCTTTTTTCTCTACAGCGTGCCAATTCCCCCACGCTTGCTGCAAACTTCCACCGCTTCTTCCTTCCACAGTTCTCATCTATCAGTGTTCACTAAATGCCAGGAAGTAAGCATATTTCTCTGTTGCCCTAGAATGGATTTTTTTCCTTCTTCATTTCCAGATATCCGGTCCCTCAGAAACCCAGGTTGGGCTATGCCTTGTGCAGAAGTCTGGTTAAGATCATTTACTTTTACCAATTTTCTGGGACTCTGTGACCAAGTGTGCAGTTGGTTTCACTCAATGAGGAGACACTACGTGAGGGTGAAGGGCGATGCCTGGGGACACATGCAGCATGCTTTCCTGCCACTGCTAGGGAAAGCGTTTACTTCTTTAGAAATACCTGCAGCCGCCACCGCTGCCACCACCACGCAGGACAAGGAACTTCCGTCTCACCCTGCGTTACACTAACTTCCTCCTGATATTACATTGAAAATTAGCTATAATAAACTTAGCGATAACTAAGGATTTTTGTTTGTAGGTTTGTTCATTTGACATTTCTGTGGCATCAGATTATGATTATCATTGTAGATTTAATGTTATTTTCAGGCCCTGAGATAAAGAGGAGCTGTCCATCTGGGGAGTGGCTAAAAGGCTGGCTCAAAGTCAAATTTCAATGACCCAAGAATCAAACCACATGAGAACTTGGGCATATTAGATTCTGGTTTTAATTCATTTTTAGGATGTTCTAATGAAAGTTACAAAACATACTGATTCAATCTAATATCTGTCTAAAAGTGAATCTAACGTCCTACTTTCAAAAGGCTTCACATTTCTGGTCAACTGAGGAGGAATTCGATACTTAGCTTTGATGATATATTAATAGTTTGCCTACATATACATTTTTCAAGTTTCTACTTAAGTCAAGGATGCCTGATACATTCACTGTACACAGTCATAAAATGTGGGTGGGGATCATAAAGGTAATTTC